AAAGCAACCGGAAAACCGCGCATTCTATGGAAAACCCTCAAAGATCTTCTCCATCCTGGTAGCACTATGGTCCCTCACCTTAGCGATCCCCTTGCCTCACTGAAACTTGCCACCTCCTTTAATAATTGCTTCAACAACAAGCTAATCGCCGTCGCAAACTCGTGCACGTCTACTGACACATTGCACCATTGTACCCCTCTCATGGTACCTAAAATTGTAAGCACTAACCCAGACACTCTTCTAATTATGCTAAAGCCGGTGTCTACAAAAAACGTTTTCTCTTTAATTGAATCACTTCATTTGAAGTCATCTCCACTCGACGTGCTCCCAGGTTCCTTGTTCAAGCAATGTGCTCCGGAACTCGCCATCATGATCAGGAACATCGCAAATGCCTCCTTCTCTTCGGGGTGTTTTCCGTCCAACCTCAAATCTGGCCTGGTTTCTCCCTTGTTAAAGAAACCAAGTCTAGATCCGGATGACCCATCTAGTTAACGTCCCATCACTAACCTCTCGAACCTCTCTAAACTCCTTGAACGACTAGCCCTCGCCCAGCTAAAACCACACGTCACCTCCTCCGCAAGCTACTGCTGCTTCCAGTCAGCTTACCGTCAAAACTATTCCACAGAAACAGCACTCACTAGAGTGCTCGATGACATTTTAATGATCATTGATTCTGGCTCAACTGTTGCACTTGTAAGTCTGGACATTTCGCCAGCCTTCGACACCATCAACCATTCGCTCCTTACTTCCCTCCTGAAATCCGACTTCGGTATATGCGGCTCAGCACTCAAGTGGATAGTTTCGTACCTTTCTGACCGGCAATCTTCAGTCAGGGTGGGCATGTCCACATCGCCTGAAACAACAGCATTATGTGGGGTTCCCCAGGGCTCTGTTCTAGGTCTCTTGCTCTTCACAGCCTACACTTCCCCGATCGGCCGGCTTATTGCAAGCTTCGGTGTTAAGCATCACTCATACGTGGATGATACGATTCTATTCACCGCCATCGATTCTAGCAATGCATCTGGATTCGAGAGGCTCTCGGAATGTACCACCGCCGTGCAACAATGGTTCACTGCACACAACCTAGCCCTTAATCCGAAAAAGTCAGTGGCCATCATGTTAGGTACCAAGCAACGTCTCAATTCAGCAGGTACCAAGCAACGTCTCAATTCAGCACACATACACATCTTCGGTTACAGCATCAAGTTCACCGATCACTTCAGCTACCTCGGTGTCATCCTAGACTCAACTTTATCCTTCGACCGTCAAACCAACCATATCATCAGCTCATGTAACTTTCACCTGAAGGCTCTTAGACACATACGTCCTCTCATCTCTACTGAAATTGCCAACACTTTGGCATGTTGCATAGTTGGGTCTCGCCTTGACTATTGTAACTCCGTCCTAGTCCGGACCTCCGCTGGCAACCTGAAGAAACATCAAAGACTACAAAATAACCTAGCACGCGTCGTCATTGCCCACACTCATCCCCGTCTCGACTCACTAGCTTGTCTCCGTGCTCTCAACTGGCTCCCCATCGCCAGTAGAGTCATATACAAGACCGCCTGCATCTGCCACAATGCCTTCATATCCGCCTGCCTGCCGTACCTTTCTTCATTATTGACAACTTGCAGCTCAGCACACGGCAGATGCCTGCGCAGCGCGACTCACGACCTCCTCTTGATACCAAGATCCAGGATGGTCATGTCTATGCGCCGCTTCTCGGTGGCAGCCCCAACAGTCTGGAACGATATCCCCCTGCACATTCGCAGCATCACCTCAATCGCCTCCTTCAAGAGACACTTAAAAACTCACCTCTACAATCATGCTTTTGAGCGACTCTGAGCTTGGCTCCGCGCCTCTGAGTTGTGGCCACTACGTCTGCAAATTTGCGCGCGTTACAAATTGAACTATTATTATTACTATTACATCAGGATTGGGGGACGATGCCAACCCCAGCCACAAGTGATGATGAAATTCTCGCTTGTAACTTTCATCAGCTAACTGAGACCAGGCCCCCTTAGGTTGGAATGGGGTGCTGGGTGTACACCCACCACCGCAGTGGAAGAATGGCAGGCGCATCTTACAGATGACAAGTCGATGGTCAGAGGGCATAACAGCTCCACGGTGTCAAGGATATGGGCTCACATCTGCTGATCCGTCACTATGTAGTCCAGCAGATGTTTTTGCTTAGACCTGGCATGCATCCATGATGTTGTGTGGATGCACCGATGCCAGAACATCGTGTTGGTAATTACAAGCCCATGGGCTGCACAAAAATCTAACATCCTCCTACCGTTGTTATTGAGCTGATCTGGCCCATGCCTTCTAATCACTCCAGACCAGGCGCCAGCATCATGACCAACTCGGGCATTGAAGTCAACCAACAAGATGACTATCTCGAGGGGCTACTTTAGCCAGCACCTGTGACAGGAGGTCATAGAAGGCATCTGACCGATCGGCCTTGCCTGCATCCCTCCACAAATGTTCGTTTTCGGTGGGGGAATAAGTAACCACGACCACCACTCCTCGCCTCCGGTTGATGGGAAGGCGAACCCAGTGTACATCACTACACTATCACACACACACGAGTGTACGTAACTACACTCTCTCACACACACACACACGAGTGTACATCACTACACTATCACACACACACACGAGTGTACATCACTACACTATCACACACACACACGAGTGTACATCACTACACTATCACACACACACACGAGTGTACATCACTACACTATCACACACACACACGAGTGTACATCACTACACTATCAGACACACGAGTTTACATCACTACACTATCACACACACGAGTGTACATCACTACACTATCACACACACGAGTGTACATCACCACACTATCACACACACCCACGAGTGTACATCACTACACTATCACACACACACGAGTGTACATCACTACACTATCACACACACACGAGTGTACATCACTACACTATCACACACACACGAGTGTACATCACTACACTATCACACACATACTCACGAGTGTGCTTCATTACACAGCGGTGGATCATCTCAACCGGTCATGCCGGCCTCCACAGGTGCTCACCAAAAGCACTTGCTCCTACAGTCTGTGAAAGGTGACACACGGGAGGTGTTTGTTGTACACACACAGAGACACTGTGGCGGTGTTGATATCCACGCTGCTGCTGCTGCGATCCACTGCCACCCACGGGCGCTACCGCACAGTAGGGCTGAACGATCACCGTATTTTCCCGCATATCGCCCGCATGCATTCATATCTTTAACGTTACCGCAGCTTAATTCCATCATATTAATACAAAGTTTACAGTTTTTAATACATTCCACTATCAATTGTTAACATTAAAATCATATCGTGCACAAAGAAAACAAACTACCCGGAAACAAGTGAACTTAAAACAGTAAATAAGTAACAAAAGTAAATATCCAATACATAAGTAACACATAACTGGTAGATAAGTAAGTAAGCGTACTGTTAGACTTACCAGCATTTGACCTCATCATATTACAGCTACTGGACCGGTAGTAACCCCTGTACAGTTTTAGCACTGGTAGATTGCGCACTGCGCAGACAATAGCGGCACTTCGGTAACGCCATTGCCTCCTGGCAACAAAGCCATTGGAAATTTGAAACAAAGCTCATTGTCGCTTCTGTATACCGGTAGTGCTCAGCCAATAGCAGCGGCCTAAGGGACTCAGCAATTATAATTCCGCGTATGGTAGATGCTTGTTAAGGCCCTTCCCATTGTGCAATCCATCGCCTCAGCTGAAACTTTCACACCCCCTACAGCAACTGATAGTATTACGGTAAACAAAGTGTGCCCATTTAAGACATTGTCGTTTCATTGTACAAACAATTCGAATAATTTAAAACGTGATAACATGTGCAATTTTAGTGTGAGTGGTTTATTCAGCAGTGCTTTAGTCTATGGTAAGTGTTGCATAGTGGATAGTTCTACCATGAAAACATTTAACGAGTTATGACATGTCAAACGTGTAAAATATTTTTGGGATAGCCCGCACCTCCATATACCCCGCAGGGTCTTGTTTTGTTGGTAAAAAGTGGGAAACCCCGCGGGTTTTATGCGGGAAAATACGGTAATTGATTTCAAATCTTAATCGCAATTTGAAACAATGCGATTAGCAAATCCCAAAGGCTGCGATTTTTGCGATTTGAAAAGTCCTATTACCTTGTTATTGCAATTGTTCGATTTTTGATTAATATTACTTTATTTATTTAACTTAACAATTGTTCTATGTTTGAGCGTTCTATTTCATTAAAAACATAGTAATAAATACATGTTGGGAGCAATTAATATTTTTTAAGTTCTCATCCTTGCATTAGAATATATAAAGCAGTTCATATTTTGATGGTATCATGTGGTAATGCTCCATATGTTGTAAATCTATTACACAGTGAATATTGAACTGAAGCTCGACTTTAAAAAATGCAATCGCAAATCAAATCACAATATCTCAATTAGAGATTCTCCCCAAATCGTTCAGCCCTACCGCACAGAGCGCCCAAAGTGCGCCCCACCTCCTCACACCTCGCAAAGCCCCGCAGGGGTTGGGCCTGGGTAGGGCTCGCACGGGCGGCCACCACCATGCGTAGCAGGTGCTACAGGCTGCAGGGCTACGTGGCGGGGCAGGAGATGGCGAGGCAGACAAACGCACCGCTGTACTGTACTTATGTGCTCCTGCCAGCTGCGCCGCCTGCCTTCGCCAACGTGCGGTGACAGGCGTGGGGCGGTATGGTCAAATATCCCCCACTACCCACACGGTGTAGGGAGTCCCTCATCCAGCAGTGGATTGACAAAGTGCCGTTCCATGTCATCACACCGATAGCTACGCATTACGTTGTACAATAATGTTCATTATGAATTGCTCTATTGTAATGTACGTGCGTGTTAGCACACGAGAGCTGTTGTTATGGTTGTGCTGTTGTTACTACACGGCTACTGTGATTATCGTTACTGCAGACGGACGCTCACCGACTGTGGACCAAAACTCGGCCTACAAGAACCTCCAGATTTCTTCAGATCTCAGGACGGTGACGCGGACCGCTGTCTCCCAGGGTTGCCCCGATCACCCACACCGGTTTGATGTCTATGCACAAGCCCTGTGCTCCGAGAACTTCTCGTCGGGTCAGCACTACTGGGAGGTGGATGTGGGGGGTGCGGCGGGGGGCTGTGAGGTTGGAGTCGCGTATGGGACGATCGCACGGAAAGGGAGTGGTGAAGAGTGCAGCCTAGGACAGAACGACTCATCATGGGTTTTACGTAAAAATAACAACAGCTGCTTAGTGCGTCATGGTGATGTAGTGACCTCAGTGCCTGTGAGGGATCCTCACCGGAGAGTCGGGTGTCACCTGCACTGGGAGGCGGGGCTGCTGTCGTTTTACCGCGCCGACTCCATGGAGCTGTTGCACTCCATCCACCACTCGTTTAGTCAACCGCTCTACCCCGCACTGTGGGTGGGTGGTGTTGATGGTAACTCAGTGAGGATTCTGGATCTGAGTCGTGCGTCCTGAGAGCACGGAGTGTGAGCAGCGTAGAGAAACGGGCACAACGCACAGACTCACGCACACAAAGACACAGATCCCCCGTGTAGCCTTAACAAAGTGTTGGGGCAAGTGCTGGTAGCGAGCACGTATGAAGGCCGCCAAGGCACTCGAGGAGGTGGGTGGCCAACACCACGCCTGGACGCCTTTGTCTCCCCAGGGGTTATATTTACACACCATTCCAGAAACTAATTTGAGGCTGAGTCGACCTAGGGGAGGCCCATGACCGGTTCACCAACACCAGTGACGATTATCAGAATCGGTCCTGGGTTTCCCCTAGGTCGACTAAGCCTCAAACGAGTATCTGCTGCGGTGTGCAAACATTGCCACTGGGGAGACAACGGTGGGTCGGGCGTGGTGCTGGTCACCGACCCCCCTCGTGTGCCACAGTGCCGGCCTTCATAGGTGCTACATGCAAACAGCACTTGCCCCTACAGTTTTGTAAGGCTGCACGGGGGATAATTGTATTGTAGTTAGTGGGTTTGGTGTGTACGCCTTTGTCTGCGTGTCTTTGGTATTGTGTCTGTGTCTTTGTGTGTGTGTGTGTCTTCGTGTGTTTTTTTGTTTTGGTGCTGGCCACCCACCCCTTAGTGCGCGAGTGTGCCAGACTTCACAGCCTCTGCTACTTGCTACGAACAGCCCTTTCCCCAACAGTCTGTGATGGCTAAATAGACACAACAACAACCGCCATTCGCCACTAAGTGGTGGTGACATCACCACGACGCTTGTGCCAGGCTATGTGCACCTTGAGGCCATGTGAAGTGTCAAATACCCGCTGGCAGGAGGTCTTGGGGCAGGTGCCACGGGTCGACTGACCTTGATGACTGGCTGATGCACCACCTGTGCCCACTACTGTGCCAACTTGCTGTGCTTTAGCCACCCAGCGCTCTGCTCATTGTTGTGAGCATCGCTCCTCCACCCTTCGTTGTTGTTGGAGGGCAACTTCCTCTAACTGCCCAGTAGTGTCCTTCACGAACCTCCTCCACAGAGGCCGATCTTGACACCGCTGGTACCAGTCATCGGCAAGTCCACTCAGCTCCACGTCCCCCTGTACCACATCACTCCATCTCTTCTCAAGCCCGTGCCGCGCCCGTTTAGCCCCCTCGAACTGGCCAAACAAAAGCTCCACTCTCTCCACAACTGCCCCATCACCGATTGGAAGTTGTGGGGGTGGAGTGCCCGATGGTACAGTATACCCAGGCAGGTGCTTCGTTTTGGTGGGGCTGATGGTGAGGCCCCACCTCTTCCCTAACTCACCCAGACCAAAATATAAAATGACGTAATTAATACTCTTTGGTTCTTTCAGTAAAGTCACATAGTTAGAAATAAAATAAAATAAAACAAATCACGACGTTTCGATCGCAACACAAGCAGTCGTCATCCCTTTGCCTGATGTGGAAGAATACCGCCTCCTCGCTCACTGTGGATAGCGGCGACCTGAGTGGCGAATGTGTGAGGGAATGAGTGTGTGAGGGAGTGTGTGTGATTGGTTAGCGGGTGACAATGGTCGTGGTGGAGTCCCAGCACTGCGGCCTGGTGCCCCAGGGAGCCTCGGTCTCGCCTGGCTCAGCGGCGGGGCTTGGCTCACCCTGGACCTGCTGGAGCTCGAGCTTCGAGGCCGAGGCCGCTTCGGGCTTAGAGGATGAGGCGCTGGGCGTGCGGCCTTGGCAGCCCCGCAAGAGGCAGCGGCTCTCGCATCTCTCGGCCAAGGAGAAGCTCCTGGGACGACGCAGCCTCTTGGCCGTGATGGCACGGAGGAGGCCGTGATGGCGTGGAGGAGGCCGTGATGGCGTGGAGGAGGCCGTGATGGCGTGGAGGAGGCCGTGATGGCGTGGAGGATGCCGCGATGGCGTGGAGGGGGCCGCGATATACTCACTCATCTTACACTGACTCACTCACACATCATACAATCACTCACACAACCACTGACCGATTCACTCATCATACACTGATTCACTCATCATACACTCACTCATCATATGCTGACTCACTCACACATCATACACTGGGAGTGTCATGCTGCCAGCTATGGCTGTACGTTTGGTCGTACATGTTATGGATATCGTTAATTGTTAAATTTGAATCACAGTTCTTATGAATACTGTTGTTACATTGTTTTTATAGCTTTATTTTGGTGATTAAAAAACATATGGTTAAGCCATGTTTCTTGCGAAAGTGCGGAGTTGGCCTGATAAATTTAATCTAAATTGTCTGATGGTTGTTATTGTTTGACTTGCACCACACTGGGATTTTTGCACACAGTATTGTAATACGGTGTTTTTTTCTGGAAGATTTGCTGGTTTATCCAGGATGGTTCTGTTGCGCGTTGTCACTTTAAGATGTTTTCTGTTCATAATTTTTTTGTTGCGGTTGCACCCGACTCAAGGGCCGCATGGCTCACAGGGCTATACATAATAAATTAAAACTTGAAACTTGAACTGATTCTTATCTGAAGTCTGATTCTCACCACCACCCGGCCCAGAATAATTCCCTCATCAAAACACTACACCATTGGGGGCCCACTGCATCTCCGACCAGCGCAACCTAGCCAGTGAACTGGAGCAGTACACCGAGCCCTCAAGATGAATCGATACTCGTACCTCACAATTAGCAAAGCTGTATCCCCAACCATAGAGAGACACACTTCTGAGGATCCAGGTCTGATTCAATAGTACACAAAATCCGTGATCTTATCCCATCTCTGAAGAATGTCATTGCTGACATGCAATACCCTGGGGTCTACAAACTGAGTTGTACCTGCGGTCGCAGCTACATTGTCTCGCACTGGGTTCGCGAACACAAGGCAGATCTAAAACACGGCAGAACCAATACCTCTGCCGTAGCTGACCATTGTTATAACGCTGTGGGCTCGCACGATATTGTTTTTTCCGAGACCAAGGTACTCTGCAAACCTTCAGGTTACCTTCAAAGATTTGTACATGAATCTCTCCAGATATACAAACATAGAGACAACTTTAACTGAGAAGATGGGTTTAAGCTGAGCAATCATTGGAAGGACATAATTAACAAACCTGGTCCGACCAGTCTTCCTCTCGCAGCAGCCAACTCCGCAGCAGCGAGCTCCGCAGCAGCGAGCTCCGCCATCTTTCGGATCGCTAACATGGCTGCTTTTGTCACACATGGACATGCAACCACCGGTATGACTGCATTGACTTTAACATTATATTCTCATTAACTTTGCTCATTTACTTTTACATGCTTTTTTCATTAACTTTAACATGCTACTCTTTGTTAAACATAGACTGACATTAACTTGCTAATTTTTCCATTAACTTTTACATGCTCCTCTCATCAAAATACATATGCTAATCCTATATGCTAATCTGAGCTCTTATGCACTATGGAAGCTAATTAACTTTGCACTATAATCCAACATGCTAATCTAATTAATTTCCTTTAACATGCCACGCTATTTATTACCTTTACACTATAATACCCCAGCAACACTACTTCGGCTACCTTTGTTCTCAAAAAACTTTCTTCACAAGGCAGCAGACATCGAGCTGCTTGCTGCAGACATCGCGGCTATCATGATTTTCACCTGAAGATGGGCGCTTGTGTTGAGTTCAAAATGTCGTGATTCATTTTGTTTTATTTCTACCTACGTGACTTTACCAAAAGAACCAAAGAGTATGGATTCCTGCAGTCACGAAAGCTTAAAATCAAGATTATTACATAAATAGATTTTTCCAAGACGACGGTACTCTGCAAACCTACCGGCTACCTTAAGAGATTTGTTAATGAAGCCATCCATATATATATATAAACACAGACACAACTTCAACCGAGAGGATGGGTACAAACTGAGCAATCATTGGAAGGACGTTATAAACCAGGTAAAGTCTTAACTGACTGTTATGTTTCCATCCAACCTGCCTATGTCAGCTGTTATTTCGACTCTGTGTCTCTCTCTCCACGCGTCTCTCTTAGAGCTCTCATACTCACATGTCCGTTGCATTGCACTCTCATGACTTTAGATTGCACTCTCATGACTTTAGATTGCACTCTCATGGTCACGTCTTTTGGATTCACTCTCATACTCACAGGCCCTTTGGATTACACCCGTTGGGTTGCACTCCCTCGTCGAGGAGGCCGCTCTCCTTTTCTACAGTTATGTGCTAATTTCTCACATTAACATCACTAGCCCTGGCCACGTCTTTATGACCATTGGGCTACACCCATTTCAAACCTTTTAAAACAGTCTGCCACAGTAGCAGACCATGCTTTCCCACCTGATAACGGACGCTTGTGTTGCGCCCGAAACGTCGTGATTTATTTTGTTTTATTTATACCGAAAGAACCAAAGATTATTATTACAGATGTTAATTTGGCATCTTTGGACTGACGTACATCAGAATTGGAATATTTATACTGCAGGAGGAATCCGATGACCTGTAAAGCTCTTTTTAACATGTCCAGTAGGGGCACGGGGTAAGAACGTAACAAACGTTACAACAATAAACAGGACACAAACATGATAGTAGTGCAAGTACAAGGAACGTAAACAAATCACCATGACACATCTACAGTAGTTTAACACGTAAAGCTTTCGTGGCCAATATCTATTATACCGTTTAATTGGGTTAACTATCTAACCCACACAACCTGCATTATGGACATATACAGAATATGAATATAAATATAAAAGTTAGTAGTTCCCTGCGGCTGTTTACACTCGGGGATTGCCAGAGAGTGCGATTAAATCGACTTGGCTCCGTGTTTCCATGGACTGTGTCTGTACTGCATTGTGGCAAACGGCGTGTCAGTATGCACCACATTGATACACAGCTGGTTTTGTTGCACAGCATTAATGGTTGACACCTCATCAATGTCTCTTTCAATTCACTACGCACGATTTATCACCGATGTAACTTTTCTTTGACGACAGACACTTCTCATAATTTTCTCACAATAACCTTGCCATTTATTGTTTACAGCTCAGATATAGCACATGGTGTAGGTATGCATAGCTGTCAATGTGGTGCCACATCAACGGAGCAACTCTGCCAGCGCTGCTATCCCCTCGCACCCCCCACACGAACGCACGCACACCCCCACTAAACACACACACGAACCCACGTAGGGTCTCGTAAGGGGGTCACCTGGTATCCTGGGTTTTTACCCGAGGGGCCCCTCGTGGGGCCGTCCCACGGTTTGCCAGTGCCAGGAGATTGGCCGACCCCCCTCAGGCCGAATTGCATTGCGGCCCCGTGAATTGGCTTAAAATTGTATGGGCACGACGAGCTCACCGAGCAAACCGCAGTGAGAACACACCCAGCACAGAGAAATAGAACCTTGGGGGAGAAAAATACCCAGTGAGCAACGCGCGAGAGTAGGTGGGAGGGAAATTTCTGAGCTGACTAAAGCTAAACCTCAACCGGACGGCCACCCCGATGAAACCTGTTGAGTCCGAGGGGGAGGACAGGTGCTGGTAAATCCAGGATGTTTCTGTTGCGTGTCGTCACTTTAAGATGTTCTCCGTTCATATTTTGTTTGTTGCAGTTGCACCCGACTTAAGAGCCGCATGGATCACAGGGCTATACCAAAGGAATGAAACTTGAAACGTAGCTACGATCCCATTAAGGGTGTCATCGTGGTGCGTAATTCGAGCGGGTGTATGTGAGGCTTCGCGGGTAGTAATTCAGTAACTGCGCCAGAATCTGCACAGCGGCGCCGCGCGAGTAATAAGGCGAGGGAGGGGTGAGTTAAAACCCGTTCATGTGCGTGTTTACACTGCGTTTTACGCAGTGTGTTCAGTAGCGACGATAGCACCCAATGGTGGAACGCGCGAATATTATCGTCAACCCGGCCGCAGTTTTTCCTGCACCCGCGTGCGTATTTGCACAGCGGATTAAAGCCGACCCAACGGGAGGTGGGGAGGTACGCGTGCATATTAATTCGACTATGTTTAGCGCGAGCAGTGGTGAGCAACCGGCGCAGGCACGCGCGAACACGCAGCCACCTCCGGACATTTGGGGTAGTGTACGTGGGGAGTATGTGGGATAACTCCAGGCGGTAGGGGGCCAGCCACTCGCCATGTCCCACAGAGAGGACGCTCGTGCGGGAAGGCCCATCACTCGATCGGCGGCAGCCCGGCGAAAAGGGGCGGAGGAGGAGGGGGGAGAGGAGGAGGGTGGCGTTAGCCCCCCCATCAACCCCTTATCAGTGCCCTAACTTATTACAGACGTTATTGATCACCCCGTGCCCCTTATACATTTTAGCGTTCATCATACAAAGTCCCATCACTAGCGAGAAAGACAAACAAATGTAAAAAATATTTTTTACTCAATTTCCCTGTACAAAAATACGAGTAAACCTGTATGGGTTGACAGGTTTGTGTATGTAACAACATGACACATCACACTATACAGCACACTATGCACTGTCTATAACTCAGCTATAGTACATGGTGAGGGTATGTAACAACATTACACATCACACTATACAGTGCACTATGCACTGTCTGTAACTCAGCTATAGTACTTGGTGAGGGTATGTAACAACATTACACAACACACTATACAGCACACTATGCACTGTCTGTAACTCAGCTATAGTACTTGGTGAGGGTATGTAACAACATTACACAGCACACTATACAGCACACTATGCACTGTCTATAACTCAGCTATAGTACATGGTGAGAGTATGTAACAGCATTACACATCACACTATACAGCACACTATGCACTGTCTATAACTCAGCTATAGTACATGGTGAGGGTATGTAACAGCATTACACATCACACTATACAGCACACTATGCACTGTTTATAACTCAGCTATAGTACATGGTGAGGGTATGTAACAGCATTACACATCACACTATACAGCACACTATGCACTGTTTATAACTCAGCTATAGTACATGGTGAGGGTATGTAGCAACATTACACACCACACTATACAGCACACTATGCACTGTCTATAACTCAGCTATAGTACATGGTGAGAGTATGTAACAGCATTACACATCACACTATACAGCACACTATGCACTGTCTATAACTCAGCTGTAGTACATGGTGAGGGTATGTAACAACATTACACACCACACTATACAGCACACTATGCACTGTCTATAACTCAGCTATAGTACATGGTGAGGGTATGTAACAGCATTACACATCACACTATACAGCACACTATGCACTGTCTATAACTCAGCTATAGTACATGGTGAGGGTATGTAACAGCATTACACATCACACTATACAGCACACTATGCACTGTCTATAACTCAGCTATAGTATATGGTGAGGGTAACAGCATTACACATACGTGTACTGTATCTGAGCTGTACACAGTAGATGGTGTGATGTGTCATGTTATAGACAACCTCATCGCTTGGGTCTGGGTAGTAAATATAAACACACT